TATATCTTGTTTTTCTTTTATAATAGAATAGAATAGAATAATATTCCTATATCAATCATCAATTATATTACATTATTGTAAATGTCATAAGCATGCATGAGAAACAAAGTTTAAGAAAAATATAGCAATTAAAATCTGAAATAATCTGGAAATAATCATTCAAATGAGATGCTCTGGTTAAGTGGTCAGTCCTAAGGCAGAATAATTTGTAAATCTCATAAGTAATTTAATGGCAAACTCACGTTAAGACTGAAAAACAAAGTTTATGAAAGATATAGCAATCAAAAAAATCTGAAATAATCTGGAAATAATCATTCAAATGAGATGCTCTGGTTATGAATACTTGGTTGTGTGACAGATGCTTTACCTTAGGTGAGCTCAGTGACCTGCGGAGCCCGTAGACTGAGGGGTCAGCATATATTCCCTCCTCTCTGAGTCGGCCAGGTCCCCGATCAAACCTGACACTGGGCGATCGGGCAGGTGAGGCGAAGCTGTGTGGAGAGTAGGGTCCTCCCGATGAAGAGGAGGGTGAACGAGGGGCCGACCGCGAGCGGGGCTGTATGGAAAGCCGTCTCATAGAGTTCTGCGCTGAGTCCAACTGGGAGTAATAGGCAGGACCCTGGGGTCCCATCATCCACTGAGGGTCCCGAGGTTGACCATATAAGGGTCCATCTCGCAATGACCGCCTTCTCTCTTCCATGGTCCAGCGAGGAGGCGGTCGGTTGTATGCAGCCGACATGGAGCAGATGCTCTCAGGTCGCACACCAGGTGGGTAGAGGGGATAGTCATCTACATATGGAGGGCCGTTATACACACCGTAATAGTCTGCTGACATAGCTCGGTTTACTGTGTAGTACCTGGATGGACTAAAAAGCAGTGGAATTATCATTAACAGAAAATGAAATAAAAATGTAAATAAAAATACACTACCATTCAAAAGTTTGGGGTCAGTAAGTTTTTATGCTTTTGAAGGAAGTATCTTAGGCTCACCAAGGCTGCATTTATTTGATCAAATATATAGCAAAAACAGAAATATTGTGAAATATTATTACAGTTTCAAAAAAACGTTTTCTATTTTAATATATTTTAAAATAGAATTTAATTCTTTGACGACAATGCTGAATTCTCAGCAGCCATTACTCCAGTCTTCAGTGCCACATGACTCATCAGAAATCATTCTAATATGCTGATTTGATGCTTAAGAAATATTTCTTCTTCTTATCAATGTTGAAAACAGTTGTGCGGAAATCTTTTGTAACGTTATAAAACTCTTTACTGCCACTTTGATCAATTTAATGCTTCCTTGCTGAATAAAAGCATTAATTTAAACAAACAAACAAAAAAAAATCTTACTGACCTTTACATTACTGGAAAAAAAAAGAAAGTAAAATAAATACATTTGTAGAACTCCAAAAAGACTTAAAATAAAAATGACTATAAATTTTAGTTTTAGTTTTTGCAGCCCACTTGCATTAAAACTATACTGCAGAGAAATTAATGATCAAATTAAATTACTAATTAAGTTTAGTAATTGTACCTGTTTTATTTAGTTTAGTTTAACACATTAACTAAGTACTAAAATACTGTAATGAAACTAAAACTAAAATAAAAACCGAAACTGAAACTAAAAACCACTGAGAATATTAAAACTAAACTTAAACTAACATTCACAGAGTGAAAAGGAAACCAAAATAAAGAAATAAAATAAAAACTAAACTATAATAAGTAACCCTGCTGATAAGAAAAGGAAGAGGTTATGAAAGCAGACCTAGACCTCACCTGCGGCCGTCGTCTTGAGGCACCATGGCCCGCCGCTGGCTGACCCACTGCTGCAGCTGCGTCATGGAGGTCTTCCTCTGGGCGAGTCTCTCTGGTGCCGTCCTGGGCACAAAGCCTCTCCGCATCACCACATTCTCCTCATGCGGCTCACGCATGTCCCTCACATTCTCTTGGGACTGGTATCTTGAACCGTTGGGAGGACCATAGCTACCCCAGCCGTTGGGGTGATGGGGTGCCAGGACTCCTTTCTCCCCCATCCTGCCTCCTATATTAGGGGTAACTGGGGTCACTGGGGTGCTGGGCGTGGTGTCTCTGGTTTCTACACCGTTAAGCTCGTGTTTGACAGGCTCGTGGACATCTGGCCTCTGGCCGTTCTCTGCATGAGAGTTGGGCTCGAGACGTTTGGCTACCATGTCGTTTTCATCTGCTGCAGGGACGGGATCAGATTTATTTCTGCAGAACAGCAGGAAAGAGACAGACAAAACATATATAAAACACTATCATAAACAGTGCAATGCCTTTGATCTGTTTGATGAAATGTTTTTTTATAAGGAGAGCACAGGACTGTTTGTTCCAGAGTATCAGGGTAGCAGCCTTAATAGTATGCGCTTGTGTTCCATCTGTGCTATTTTAGTTGTTGCTCTGCATAAATTTTCATCAGATCTGTCTTCGGCTGTTTGAAATATGCTGCTCTGACTCCACAAGAATCACACTTTTAAGATGTTGTCCAAAACCATGACATTTTTTTTTCTACTGTAAAACTCAAAAGTGGAATTTCTGAAGAACTACTATTTGTACTGAATGAAGGTCCATAAAAGCATTAAAAGAATTTCAAGGAAGTAGTCATTATGACTCATTTGCCACCTTTCAATTTGGAATATTTTTAATTCTTGGCATTGGCCAATAGGTTTTGTTGTTTGGCCGATATGTTGTAAACGGGACTTTTGTTTTAACAGCGCTGAAAACATGGTGCCTGAGTGCAGACACAGAAAAAACATGGATGCACGTGAGTGAGCAACTTCAAACTATGCTACGCTATATTCAGTTGGCCACTATGTGGTCATATTATTATTGTCGTATTCACTGTGTAGTAAATGTAAAATTGGCATTGCCTGGTCTTTATCTGGTGTTGTTCTGTCATTTTAGACCGGAACATTTTTTTCTTCAACATTTTAAAAATTGCTACTTCATTGGAATGGTATGAAACTCAGTAACTTTTACGGCATTCACTATGTGACTACAAAAAAAATTGTGGACTTGATTCGAAAAAGCTAAATGGTCTTGGAAATGAATGGGAAATACGCAAAAATACGCAAAATACAGATCTTTTTTTGTGTGTACAATCTACAAATCAAGTATGATGCAGAAAAACAGTGCACAGCAATGAACGGGTGACACTCCAAATTATCAAGAGTGCAAAACAGACACACTTGACCCACCCCCCTCCCCCCACAGACACACATATATGAACTAGTGTGACTGTAATACAAAATATGTTTCTGCAAATGTGTGAAATAAAATCAATAATTCAGCCACAATGCAGTAAAAACACAGACACCAGGGAAGGGGTTACACTCTAAAACAACAAGGAGTACAAAACACACTTACAGACACGCACACAAAACACACTATTATACACACACAATGAACTGGTGTGGCTGTAACAATATGGCAATATTGAGCCAGAAGACTCAAATAAGAGGTTGAAATCAGATTGATTAATCTCTGATAAAGCATTCCTGTTCATTTGTGTTACTTTTTTTTTTTAACTTGGATGTTATATGTAATAAAATGTTTTTCTCTGTGTTCAGGTTTGACTGTAGTAAACTTAATGCAAAAACTGACATTTCAAAACAACATTTAAAAAAAAATCTAAACCTTTACAAAAAGTTGTCTTTGAGAATGTCTAAATATATATCCAAATCCACAACTTTAAAAAAAATTGTCTAAAAACAACCCTTTTATATAGAGCTATATAGGAATCTAGTGGCTAAACCATGACATTGCAGAAGTTTTTCTTTTTTTACTAGAAAAAGTAACTTTTCTTTTTTTTTAACCAGATGATGCTAATCTGATTTAAAAAAATTGGATTTTAAAGGCATTGTCTCTATTTTAACATGAATTACTGCCATAATTGAAAAGTAATAGAGAATTTTTGAAAAAAAATATTGTATTAATTTCAATGGGAAAAATTTATCAAAATTATTGCATACATATTATTTAGTACCATGAAATTCTCTCAAAAGACAAAATATATAAGAAAACATATTATTGAACAAAAATATATTACATTGATTTAACTGAAAATAAAAAAAAATTACATTTCAGGTGTTTGTAATGTAACACTTTTGACCGTGAACAAAACAAGTGTGACTCCCAAATGAACAATGCCAGATGGTTAAGAAAAGAAGATTCCCAGTGCACAAAGACTTTACACAGCAAGTTACTGGTACAGTATGTCCTGTTATTACAGTGTTTGCTTCCTTTTTAGTGACATTTTTTAACAACTTTTGAAGAGGCCAAAATAAGAATACAACAAAGAATAAAGCATTTGCTATCTAAAGTATAAATCTATATATTTTAATCTGCTTTTTTTCTTCTTTTCTAGAAGAAAGAATCATGCAGTTCGGAACAACAATAAGGTGAGTAAACGATGACAGAATTTTCATTTCAGAGTGAATTAAAACAGTTTTTTGCTCTGTCACGATGGTTTTAGATGCAAGAGTGGATTGTGTGTGAATTTATGTGGATTATAGATGTGTGTGTACCTGGATGTGGCTGGGATGTGGACCCTGGCAGCCTCACTCATGGCTTGGATCCACTCCTCCTGCTCCTTCTGGCTGTCTGCACTGAAGTAGTATGTACGAGTTCCTGTGTGCTCAACCTGCAAACAGAACGCAATACTGCCCTTTAAATCCTCACTTTCCTCTTCCTCCTCCTCCTCCTCTTCGTTGCTTTCGCACCACACCTGCAACAGAAAAAGAGACAAAGAGAGAATATTATTGGACTGTCCCATAGCCACTTCCATTGCCCAAGAACATAACTGTAAACCTGATACCACAAGGACAACAGAGCATGCAAAACAGATCCAGCAGAACTCATGCAAAATAGTCCATTCAATTGTTCATATGTACATGAGCAAGTAAATAAAAGCCTACGAATGAAAGACATGCTTAAAGGCATAAGCATAAATGCAGAATTATTATTTAAAGTAATATTTTGCTTAAAGGAATAATTCATCCAAAAATGAAAACTCGCTTAAAATTTACTCAAGCTCAGGTCATCCAAGGTGTAGATGAGTTTGTTTTTCATCAGAACAGAGTTAGAGAATTTTTGCAGATGAATAAACAAACTAATTACATTTTGGATGGCCTGAGCTTGAGCAAATTTTCATTTTTGGATGAACTATTAATGTAAGGCCTTTCAGAGAGCTAGACAGATGTTGGTAGGTAAAGCTGCAGTGCATGCAAACATAAATAGTCCATGCAATGGCTTAATTTTCATGTGAAGTCAAATGTGTTGATATTTAATATGCAGCACAACACTGGAGAAATATGTGGCTCGGACATGCAGGTCAGACTCAAAATTATAGCAATTAAACATTGAGCATTAGCTGACAGGTGACTGAGGACTTTCAAAAAGTAATTTAGTCCAGTTTAATGATTGTATATAATGATTTTAGACTACTACATATAGAAGTTTGAAGATACTTATGTACTTTTGTCAACATAATCATTACTGCCAATTGTTAGGAGCGTAAGCAGGTGAGTCTGATCTTGTCACTTGTCATGCACTTGCAGTAGCAAAAAGAGGTGCTCTGAAATACCTACTAAATGTGGCTCATCGACACATTGGAGAAAACTCACTCAGGGGTCCTCAGAACTTTAGGGGCAGGTTAGAAGTGGGCTAGATGTGGTCAGGTTTATCATAATGGAGTGGACATGTGCATTAATATCCTGAAAGAATTGGCAGTTAGTAGAAATGTGGCTTTGCTGTGTTATTACATATACAAAATATCAGCTGTTGAGCACATAGACAATGTAAAACCTTTGTGTGATCGTGCTACATTAAATAAGTAACACAATAGTTTACACACATGCACGCTGGTCAAAAACACTGCAGTACAGAACTTTACCACATGGGGGCAATACAGAATAATTTAGAGTTAACTGTGGACTACATTCTGTAGTCAGTCAAGTAACAAACAGCAAACAAAAAAGGGGAAATAATATATAGCAACAAACTTCAGATTCTACAAGCTAATTTCTCCTGTTTGTGACCTAATTTATGACTAGAGTCTGTAATTAAACTTTCCTATTAAGGGACAATAAAAACAATAATATAACAATAATTAATATAATATTTAGAAAATACATACAATAACAACTTTTACCTTTATAAGAGCTTTTTTCCCCCCTGTGTAAGTCAATTTATGTCAAATACAGGGACATTTGTGTCCACACATTTTAAATATGGGGCCTTTTTGTTACTTTCGGTGGCATTTTTGGTCAATTTATGATGCAAAAAGCCCATTACACAACATCATATTTATTTCATGACAGTTTGTGGAAACACACAGCAGGTTTTGAATGAAGAGGGTGTGTGACCACTGATGAAACGTGACACATCACTGGAAGCTACAATAATCTGACCATAACATTCAGTTGTAAATCAGGATTTCATCCAATGCCAATCCTCTGAATTAGTCTTGCATAAAACGAGCTGCACTTAGTCATCCGAGGGTGTGCCAAAATCAGTTTCATGCAATCTAATAGTTAACTACTCCACAAGACAGTTAGCTAACTGACACTTTAGACCATTAAGAAACAAACTGTATTTTTGAATAGACAAAACCTGATAAACACGATTTGTTTTAAATACACAAGTTATAATCATTCTGTATTAATAAAAGTGTTCACATGTGAAATGTCTAGTAAGGAGAAAAACCCTGAGTTTCGTCATGCTGTCAAAACAACTTGAAATTAACCAGAACAACAAACCTGGACTAAAGTAATCAAGTAATTTATTTCCTGTTTATTCACTCAATAGGCTGCATGTTGTTTGCATGCTTAAAATTATCTTGAAACCGAGACAGTCATCTGTGTCACAGGAAGTAGAGTATCAAAACAAAAGTTTGCATTGCAGTGGTTGCTCAACTTACAGAAATCTGGCACAAAAACTAGCCATGCTATTGCAAGTCCTTCGCTTACCTTTATACCTGCCAAAAGAATGCCTTGTTTCCTTTAATTGAACCTCTCCCTGAGTCAAACACTCACGCACTATTGATTCATTGCAGGGCTTGGCAAATTCTGTGCTTACTGTTTGCATTTGATTTTACAGAGAAGTCATTGTTCTTGTGCAGATTATTACTAAATGACCCTGAGCTGGCACTTTAAAATGTTTGTTTAACTTTAATATAGCTGGTCTTCATTTAAACTCTCTTTATCGTGTGTCCAACCTTCTAGCACATCTTTATTTTAAGGAAATAAAGTGTAGGAGGAAGAGGTGTTTGGCAATTTGTAAGTATGTAAAAGATATTTGACATTGCTTTGTGAGGACGCATGACAAATGAACCATGTTAAGATGAAGTGACATGATTTATCTGGTACTGATTTGTCATATTAATATAATGATTCAAAATGTAATATTATAACGTGAAGAGGTCACATGAAGTTCATGAGTTTCCTGGATGAGCAGTCAGTTTTAATATGGTGTTGCCATCAGGAAACATTATTATTCTGAGATATCTGAATGCTCAAGAATTTGGGAAAGAAGTATCATAAACCATAAACTTCAACTGCGTCCCAAAAAAAAAAAAACTCCCTTTAAGGGATGGTTCACTCAAAAATGAAAAATCTGTCATTTATTCACCACATGCCATTCTGTATGACATTTTCTTGTCTGTGAAACACAATTTTTAAAACATTTTTTGTTGTTGAAGGTGTTCAGTGTTGTTTTGGACCTCACTGACTTTCACTGTAAATAAAACACTTAAATATTAGTTAAATGTCTTATTGTTAAATGTTAAATGTATTATTAAATGTCTTCAAATAAAATAAAAAATAAAATAAAATAAAATAAAATAAAAATAGCCTTCAATTCTTGTAAATAACTTCCTCAAATGTGGGTTGAAATAGTCACCTGATTCCAAGTGCATCCTGGAGACATATTTATGGTCTATAGGAGACATTTGTGTTTGCAGTGGCGTCACATGTCAGACTGATCTATCTTTACAGACCTACTCTTAACTACTAGGTACCCTTCTATCCAAACAAGCACAAGTACCTCCTTCTCTGCTTTACAAATCAGAAAGAAGAACTGACTTTGTCACATAGTATGTCAGTGCAGGACTATATCTAGTCAAACCTTAATTATGGCCTAATTGAAAATGTCTGTCTTCTTTAGTGTGTGCATCTTTAGTGTTCTCTTAGGAACGTGAGAGCTCAATATCATCCTTAGGAATATCACAGGCTCGGTCAGACCATAGACAAAACCAACACAAGATCACTTTTATTGTTGCTAGCCTGGGGATACAAGCCTACACATGTGATAACCGGAAAGCATGTATTAGAATCTCACACTGTGTAGGATCTCATATTATAATGACACCCACTTTTTGTGCATTTGCTGATGCAAGTGATGGTAACACACCAGACTAGCAGATGATCTGATAAGACTGAAATTCATTTCACCCTTTTATTGCACATAAAAGAAGGTCAAGCTACATAGTATTGTCGTAATCGGAGTGTGTTTTGTTTTCTCTCTCTGTGCCAAGAGCTCTCTGTCTCCTATGGCACTGGCACAGAGGTGCGGCCCAGGACACATTAGCTGCAAAGATCTATTACATAGTGGTGGAAAAGAACCATGTTTACACTGTAGACGTAATCGAATGTCCAAGAGGGCCAAATTATTGTTAATGTTGGATCATATATTTCAACAGGCCACAATGAAAGTCACTGTAGGTTATTTCCTTTGAGTATAATATCCATTGACATACTTTCCCATCTCGGCTCTGACACAAGGCTAAGCTATTTCAACTTGGCTTTTCACACCACAACACAATATGTTGCGACGTTTTAGATGGGATTTCTGATGAGATTTCTTTACCATTTTCTTCTAGTAAATCCCTCAATGGCCTCTGAAATTCTCTCAAAGAAAAGCAAAGCAAAACAAAGCAAGACAAAACAAAACAAAAAACACAAAACAAAACACCAAATCAAACCAAACCCATACAAAACAAAACACAATTTTGTTTTCTGATGGGATTTCATTACCATTTTCTTCTGGTAAATCCCTCAGTGGCCTCTGGAATCCTCTCAAAACAAAATAAAGCAAAGCAAAGCAAAGCAAAAAACAAAACAAAAAAACAAATCAAACCATACAAAACAAAAAAATTTTTTTAAATTATTTTTTTATTTACCATTTTCTTCTGGTAAATTCCTCAATGGCCTCTGAAATCCACTCGCCACAAAACAAAACAAAACAAAACAAATCAGTTTTAGGGAGAATATAAAGTTGTTGTTGTTATTTTTTTCCCTTTTTTTGGTCTCTTTTAACTGTTAGACAAAACTAGCATGTGGTATTTCAGTGCAAAACCTTTTGTCTTACTAACTAAAAACCCAGTATAGAGATTAACTTGTCAATAAGTGTACTGAAATCTGTAAGGATTTAAAGTAAATGTCATAATTTTTACACATTGACATGTTTATAATTATAAATAGTTTGTACTATGAAAAGAGCAATTCTTTATTAGTAAATTCCCCCTGTATTTCCCATATAATCCTCAATTTCAAACAAAACTATCACAACTTGAGATTCATCTGGGAGGAAAAGCTCAGAGAGTGAGCAGTTCACCTGTCTACACTCATTACATCTGATAGTAGTTGATCTGAGCGTGAGACACAGTGTGGGACACGTTACGCTGGACAGCAGGTACAGAGCAGCTTGATGTTAAAAAAAAAGAAGGAA